AAATAAATAAATAAATAAATAAATGACTCCATCCTTAACAATCCTTCTTAGATCTTATGAACTAAACACAATTTAGTTTACTGTTTAGTGATTGCTGTTCTCACTCCACTTTTCATGCCTTTACTGTATATAAGGTTATGGATAAGTATTCAGAGTTTATACTATGAAATGTTTTAGGGATTAATGTCTTGATTTGTCTCTCATGTATCTTAAGGCTTCTGATTATGAAATTCGACAGTATGAGCCAGCCAAATGGGTGTGCACATCAATCAAAACTGTGGACTGGGATTCAGCTATCAATACAGGTTTCACAAAGCTCTTTAACTATATTAAGGGCAAGAATGAAAAAGGTAGGATTTGTTTATTTATTTATTTATTTGTTTGTTTGTTTGTTTGTTTGTTTATTTAATAGTCATTCCTGCCCTTCAGGGAAGAGGTGCTAAGAGATAATACCAAATACTGCTACATACTTCATCGTTTCCTGAAATATGTTAGTACCTCCAGGGTAAATTTAAAATGCTGCAGTGGTGAATTGCAACTGATCAACAAGTGGCAATCATATGCCTTTTTGCATGACTGGCATGCAATCAGGCATGCTAAGAGCATTAAAGATATAAAGATATATAGACTAGTATCCTGTGTCTCTTCTCAGAGCTTCATGAGCAGAGCTGATCTCCAGCTTCCACTTACACAAGCTGTGTATTGCCCCATTGCTTTAAACAAGTGATCTGCTCATGCAACAGTTCGTTGTATGAAGAGCACAGAAGGAGAAATGGAGTGCAGAACAGATATTGCCCCATTGCTTTAAACAAGTGATCTGTTCATGCAACAGTTTGTTGGACCCACTCTTGTATGAACAGCACAGAAAGAGAAATGGAGTGCAGAACAGACTGCAGCACATTTGAAGTGAAAAATCTACCAGCCTTAATCTGTCTTGGAGATTACTCTTGACAGTGGTACTGTTGTGTAGAAAGTGTCACAGATTTGCAGTTGAATGGCATGGTATAATGGGCACGCTAAACATGAAATTCATGTTATATGCACTATGTCTTTGTGTCCACACTTCTTCCCAGAGAGGAAAGGGACCCATACGCCACCTTATGAAAACTAAGTCTATACGAATGACTTACAGCTCGACATTTCAATTGTTTCTGGACTGTGCTGCTGCAAAACCCTATACAGCAGAGACAACGGACCCAGTAGTGAACCACTTATTTACAACTATTCTTTCACCTCTTGGAAATCCACATGTTTAGAGGAACAGTATGGAAACTTTGAGAATACAACACTATAGAAACTTGGCTTAAAAAATAGTCTTATTTAAAAAAAAACACCACCCTTTCCCCTTCCCTCTGGTCCTTCTTATTCGGCAGTCTATACATATCATTGTAATCACTTCCACTGCCTTCCAGAGTCCCATGGAAATGCCCCATGGTATTAAAGGCCATTTAAAAAATGGATTTAAGCCAAACTCTCTAAGATTCAAGGATGCAGATTTGAGAAGCATTGGGGTTTCTGTTCTGCTGCACACTGGACATTCTATACCAATATGTAAAAAATTAATCTACTTCTTGGTTTAGAAAGGATTGTTTCTGCAAAAACAGGAACTCAGAATGTTACATAGTAGGTAAAAGCGTGCCTAAACCAATTGGCTTTTGCTAGAAGCACCTTTGAAACTGTAGACTATATTTTTGATGGGAAAATAAGTGTTGTAACCTCGCCCTCTCAGAGGCTGATGAAGCCCTGGGCTACTTCCATTTTCCAGCCTCCTGGTATATTAAAAATGAAGAATGCTGAAACAGGGTTATAACAATTGTAGTATTGTTTAAGCTTGAAGCTGTCTATGGAAGTGAAGCCAGTGACAAATGTTCCTCCTCCCCATTCTCTGTGATAGGCCCTGGCTGTAACCAGTAACAGGGCAAACACAATTCCTGCATTTCTCGTCAAACATCCCGGTTTTATTGATGGTATCCTGAAGTCTACTGAAATGAGTGTGCTCTTTCATGTACAACAACTCAGGAGCTCTCCCTGAAGAGAAGTCTTCTGCTACAAAAGTTGATGTTTGTGAAATAGCTGGGGCTACAAGTTAATTTTTTTTAATACTTCAGCAATATGTGAAGGAGTGGTGTTGTAATATGATAAAAGTAATATCTCTGCTCTTCAGGAGTGAAGATAGATATGACTGCTCCAGTGACATGCTATGTGCAGCCAGGAGCTGGCCCATTCTGTGAGTCCACCACAATTGTTTCTTTCTATGTGCCATCTCAACACCAGGCAAACCCACCTAAGCCCACAGAGGCAGATGTTTTCATTGAAACCAGACCAGCAATTACTGTATTTGTCAGGTAAGTACCATTAGCCATGTGTTCTTACAAGCTACAGATTATAAATCTGTGTGCATTATTTATTCAGTGTATCAAATTAGAGATTACATACAAGTTGTATGTTTTATTTTTTGTGTTTGTGAGATTGTGGGGTTTTGTGTGTATGTGGGTATTTTAAAACATGCTGCTTATACAACACTCCATAGCATTCCATTTTTGGGGGATTTACAATTTATGAAGGCACCTCCCCCAAACAAGTTGGATACTCAATGTACCGACCTCACAAGGAGGCTGAGTGACCCTCGAGCCAGAAACCTAGGGTTGAACCAAGGTCATAAGCAGAGTTTTTGTTGCAATACTGCAGTTTAACCACTACATTATGAGGCTCAATCAATGTTTTAACCCACAACCATCTTAATATGCTATGAATCTGAGCAAAGACTGCCTAGAATTTAAAATAATTATTGAGGAATTGAGTCATAGACTTCACATTTAGTGTATAGCTTGACACTAAGCTAAGAACAGTTGATTAATTTTCTAATTGTTCATCTTGAACTATTAACTTTTGTCTGCCACCTTGTGGTGACTGAAGTATGTTGTACAAATGCAGGAGAATGCAATACCTTTAATCAGCCATCAAGAATATAAATCATCTTCTTCAACCCTGTGCATCAAGTTCTTGTGGGCAGTTCCAAACTTACATGCTGTTTTTATTGTCCTGAATTCACATTAAAGTTATCACTTGCTCCTGTATTTGCATTTTTTCCATGACTATACAGCCTTTACCTGATTTTTCCTTAACTATGTTGTATTATGTATCTTGCCCAGGTTTTGTTAGGGTATAGTATTATCATTCCTCACAAAAAAACCCACCCCACCCCACCTCTATTTAAACCAGGTGGTCTTGTAATTGTGAGGAAAGCCCTCTTCATTTAAGTAACATATTTCTACCCCATATGCTCCCCTTCTGTAGCATAATATCATTTTTATGTTCTGTTAAAATCAGGTTTATCACTGACCCACCCATCAATTGTGCAGTGACTGCAATGCTTGGAGCTGATTTATGTTTGTCATCAGACCTATCTGAAGCTGCAGGAATTCACAAGGGACATGCAAGTGAACTGTGCTCAGCAAATACATTGTAGTGGCTCACAACAGTGGCTGGACATTTGAGCTACCACTTGTGCCTCCTGTGCATGCCATTTCCTGCCACAATTGCTGGCTCTCACAGATAATGCTTCCAAGTACTGCCCAATGTCAAGGTCGACAGTGGCCTAGCTGCTTACATGGCATTCTTGCAGGGCATAGTTGTCTCTTATTTGAAAACCAAGGAAAAACAAAAGTATTGTGGCATCTTTAAGACTCAACAGATTTATTTCAATTATGAGTTTTCGTAGATCACAATCCACTTCTGAAGATGCACTGAACCTAATATTTAAGCCACAGGTTTATATATACAATGTTAATCATAGTAGAATCAAATGAAATGAGAAACAGAGGGTGACAGTTACAGTGTTAACCCCAATAATGAATTTTCAAAGTGACAATGGCATTAATGAACAAGCTACCTTTACAGAAATATTTTGTGTGCAAGTACACTGCTGATTATGCTATCTATTGTCAGGATATTTATATAAGTAGTATTTTGAATGTTCATTTCTTGTGTTAACATTGCCATTGAAACTAGAAGTCCATTATGAGAATTAATTGAACTATTCCTCTCAGTCTTCACCCTAACTACCATGTATACTGTATATGAACTTGTGGCCTAAATATTGTTCCATATGTATGTAACAAAGTACAGTGGAACCTCTACTTACGAACGTCTCTAGCTATGAATGATCCAAGTTACAAACAGCTCCGTTTGCAAAAGTTTGCCTCTACTTGCAAATGGAGCTTCAAGATATCAATAAAAAAATAAAAAAAATTTAAAAATTAAAATTACCTCTACTTGCAAATGGAGCTTCAAGATACCAATAATAAAAAATAAAAAAATAAAATTACTGCCTTGTTTTTGACCTAAGTTCACCTTAGGTCAAAAGAAAAAATAAAAAAATTTCCCCCTAGTGGTAGAATATGGATTAATCGGCTTTGCATTGGTTCCTATGGGAACTACAGTGGTGCCTCGCATAACCGTGGTCACATGGCCAGTGCGACTTAGACACAGAACACTGTTACCTTCCCACTGAGGTGATCCCTATTTATCTACTTGCATTTGCATGCTTTCGAACCGCTAGGTTGGCGGGAGCTGGGACAAGTGACGGGCGCTCACTCTGTCGCGTGGATTCAATCTTACGACTGCTTGGTCTTCTGACCCTGCAGCACAGGCTTCTGCGGTTTAGCCCGCAGCGCCACCTTAGGTCAAAAGAAAAAATAAAAAAATCTCCCCCTAGTGGTAGAATATGGATTAATCAGCTTTGCATTGGTTCCTATGGGAACTAATGCCTCTACTTGCAAACAGCACCTCTAGATAAGAACAAAAAACAGCCGGAATGGATTAAATGGTTTTCAGTGCATTCCTATGGGAAAATTTGCTTCTACTTGTAAATGTTTCAACTAACGAACGTTTTCTGGGACGGATTAAGTTCGTAAGTAGAGGTTCCACTGTAGACTGCAATTCTCGAAAGCTTGTACTTTTTAAATTTGTGTCAGAAGCACAGTACAATTAAAAAATATATCAGATAATTTTCACCCAAAAATATGCAATATCAGGACCATTTTAGGAAGCAAACATAAACTCTTCCATGGTACATGTTGAAGTGCATAGAGTACACTGACAGAGGTGTGACACTACCTGTTTTTCACACTTACAGAGGACTGCCTTGGTGAGAATTTCTTTAGGTTCACTTTGGTTCTGCCATCTCCATTCTGTAACCTATTAAACGGCTCCAAATAACCCAGTTCTCTGTGTGACCATGGGCAGCATCTTCCTCAAAGTGAACTACATCCGTTAGCTTTAAAAATGCCATACTATTTTTGTTTTTGTTTTGATACCTGCTGATACTCTGAAAAAAATACTCTGAAAATCAGGAAAAAAAACTGGAAAACTTTCCTATTGGAAGTTGGACTTTATCATGGCCAAATTCTGTGAAATGGCTTACAGAATGGTTTATGACATTTTTACTGTGTGGAGTATCTCTACATCATATACCAGTGTCTGTGTATCTTCAAGATATATGAGCAGCTGCCACATTTATATAAGTAATTGGGTGTAATTGGCAGGATCATGCGATGCAATAAGCCAGGGATCCATGGAAACACTGGAGTTTGGGTTTCACTCTGTGGTTTATTATTTGTGTCAAGCAAATGAAGGGGTAGTTGATGCTCTGACTTGTTTCCAGGATTTAAGGTTCTTTGTGTGACCTGTGAGATGATGGGGACAGGCCAGAGCTATAGGTGCAGATGTGTTTGGACAGCACAGTAAAAAAAGCTTCCAAGAAAAACCCATGGTATCTTTAGCCAAAAGAACAAGAGAGATGTATATTCTGGCATGGTGTCATGACTGATAAGCCAGAATTCTTATGGATCTTTGGCCTATTTCATTGCCCAGCTCTTCCAACTGGACAATTGCACAGCTTTTATCTATGCAGCCTTCATACACAACCATTTAATCTTTATATAAGAAAAAAAAATTCTGATGCAATCCTGGAAATATTTCCCATGTCACATCACTCTTTCAGAGCATGCCTAAGCAGAAATATGTCTGTCTCACTGACTTGGAAATGTGTTAATGGAATATTCCAGGGTAAATATCCCATGCCTGAGTGTTAATCTTGTATGGTTTACCTAGATTAGGTTTTTCGCAGACACAGGCTCCATACTTGGCAAATATATAACAGCATTCTTTTTTTTTTTAATTCTTAACAGGTCATTTGGAGGATTTGCCAATGCTAAAAGGAACCAGGAAGAAATACTGGCACTTGTTGAAAGCTTGAAGCGGGATGGGAAAGCTTTTCAGGAAAAGGTCTATTACAGTGCTGGCTATGATAGCCCATTTAAATTACTGAACAGGCACAATGAAGTTTGGCTTATCAAGAAAAGCTGAAACCTCAGTAATGCAACTTAATGTCCAAATGTGTCCTTAACAAAACATAATATTTTGTAACAGATTATGCTATAACAGCATTTTTGTATAATTATTTCTAACGTTTAAAAATTCTATTGCTGTGTCTTCTGTGCTTTCAAACCTATCAGTGCCAACATGAATGGACATATATTTTGCTGCAACACTGCCTCTTGTCCAGCTGCATATCTAAAATTAGAAGTGGTACCATACTATTGGAGAGACCACCAGAACAGAAGAGAACATATACTTTGAAAATGTTACTGAATCCTCTCTCTAGAAAGGCTAATTCTTTGTTCAAATAACCTGACTGAACAATGCTGAATTTGGTGCATGGACGCTACAGCTTTTGAATCCTTATACAGGTTTCCAAATATCCTAAGCCTAAGGCAAGTGTGTAAAACTGAAATAGTGTGTAAGGGTGGGTGAGGTACAATGTTCTACACTGAAATAGTGTGTAAGGGTGGGTGAGGTACAATGTTCTTAATTAAATCCTTGTCCCTGATTCTCCCCTAGTTCTTTAGGCATTTGGAACTCACATTTACTTACTACCGGTAAAGGAACCCCACCTTCTCTCTTTCTGGGGACACTACTTTTCTATGTATGGAAGGTGATACATCTGAAGACCCCCCTGGGGGATCTCCATGTGAAACAGGATGCAGGGTCCACAGAGTGTCTACAGATGCCTGGGGCTCACTGCTTCAGACATGTCTATCCATGCATAGAAGAGTGATACATAAAGGAATGGGGCTACCGGAAACTCTGGTAAGTATTCCAAATGCTTAAATAGTGTCTTTGTTTTAGTAAAATTATTATTCTACTTAGCCACAGCTAGGGAAATTATTACTAAAGGTAAGGGGAGCAGAGTTCCTACCATCAGATGGTATCACTTCCTTGAAGGTCTCCAGAGTATATTCTGCAGCAACTAATGAATCGGCTTCAGGTTTTAGACATCAGTGCCTTTAAAGGAGAGGGGCTATGTTTTCAGATGTATTATTTTCACCATACCTATGCCATAAATATCCCAGTGCAGTTAATAAGTCAGAGCTGCCAAAATAATGTCTAATCTTTACACTTTTGGTAGCCAAACTGAGGTGTTTCATCTGGATCAAACTGACATTGGTTTTTGTATTGCAAAACACTGAGTGAAGTTTAGGAAGCTGCAGAGCAGGTCATTTTGGCCCTTACGTATACCACAGGGTTGATGTTCCTGCCTTAAGGGTATTTTCCACGTTATATGATTGCAGTGTGTTCTTCTTAAATGGAAACCTGTAATGTATGACTGATCAATATGTTGTCACTATATAGTACAATTCTGCCAGAAGGCTGTAGTTGAATAACTAGACTGACAGGCATATTGTCATGAGGAAGTTAACATATGGTGCCCATCTTCATAGATGCTTCACTGGATATTTTAATACAGGACAAACTTGCATATATTATTTTTACCACTCATTAAACTTCTTGGGGTAAGGGACCTGCCTGTTTTTTTTCTATGAATTTTTGTAAGGTGCTATGTCTAAGTATTGTTAATGGTGTTGTTAATGTAGATAACGAGAACCCAAATTTTAATCAAAAATTATTTATGACTGGCATTGAAAACCGCTACCGTGTTTCCCCGAAAATAAGACAGGGTCTTATATTAATTCTTGCTCCAAAAATGCATTAGGACTTATTTTCAGGGGATGTTTTATTTTACAGTCATATTATCTTCTTCTGGTTGTTGCACAATGGTGGAGGGCAGGGTTTCACTTAACTGGGGCTTATTTTTGGAGTAGGGCTTATATTACAAACATCCTGAGAAATCATATTAGGGCTTATTTTCAGGGGAAACAGGGCAATTACATTGCTACTTTAACCTATGCTGTTATTATTTGTACAGTTTCTCTTTGCACTACATTTTCCACATTTGTACAGTGTAAATATTTTAAACTGAACAATATGGATGAACCTGAAAGCAGACCTGCTGTAATCAAACATGTCACCTGCCCCTACTGGGGGGAAAATGGAAAATATCTATGGTTAAGTATGAAATGACACCTATAGATAGTACTTGTTTTAGAGAGGTACATCAGCTGAAGGAAGAGGAAAAGAGGGGTGATTGTATAATAAAATCTGAATTAGAAGTGGAGAATGGAGAACAGGAAGATTAAATACTGTGTAGTTTAAGAAATGGTAGGCTCAATGCAGACATGGTGCGTGGTAATAAATATAACGGTTGTGATTCAGTGAATTCAGTGCATACAAGAACATTCTTGTATTTTCTGAGACAGGCACATACTTAGGCAACATGGCACTCCAGTTGTGTTGGACTGTGTCTCCCATCACTCCTCACAATTAGCTATGGTGGCTTGGGCTGATGGGATTTGCACTCCAAGGAAATACGAAGTGATGCAAATTACTCATCCCAGCCTAGCATGAACAATAGCAAATGCTATTGTCTACCTTTGCATAAAGGTTTCTCTCGGAGGAAACATTCTGTAGGGCAATTTCAATTCAAGGTAAAGTTAAAGGGAAAGTTTCCCCTTGACATGTAGTCCAGTCATGTCTGACTCTAGGGCATGGTGCTCATCCCTGTTTGCAAGCCTTAGAGCCAGTGTTTATCCGAAGACAGTTTCCGTGGTCACGTGGCCGGCGCAACTAGACAAAGAACACTGTTACCTTCCACCATGGTGGTGGCTATCTATTCGCATTTGCATGCTTTTGAACTGCTAGGTTGGCAGGAGCTGGGACAAGCGACGGGAGCTCACTCCCTTGCGTGGATTTGATCTTACGACTGCTGGTCTTCCGACCTTGCAGCACAGAGGCGTCTGCGGTTTAACCCGCAGCGCCACCACTCTACATTGAGAGAATGCTGGAAAGAGTTGTCAAAAGGTAGAATTGACTATATGGCACACAACTATTAACTTCAATTTAGTTCAAACAGACTTAAGTGAATGGAGCCCTTGGCTCATATTTAAAAGCCAGACGTGCAGGTTCCCTTGTGCCTTGGTGAGCATACCACAAACCCTTTTGATCGTAACACAAATTGGTTGTCAATAGAATGATATCTACTGGTTTCCAAGTGTTATTTTATTAACTCGAGACAGAAGATGACAAATGGCAGCCTTGTTTATTGTAGCAGAATCATAGCATTTTCATACCCCTTCTTGAGTTAAGTGAAGGCCCCTGAAATTTACAGTACTAGCAAATACAGAGATGGAGAAAAAAGGAGTCAAGTGTTGTTCATTAAAATAAATTATCTACATAGAGGGTTTTTCTTAACATCTAAAAATGTAGAAATGTCAACATTGGGAGGACAAAAGGTATCTTAAGAACTTTCATTATGTACAAACATTATAAAAACTACAGAAACTCAACTTATGAAAAATTCCTTTTTGAAAACTAAAAGGTTTCCTTTTTAAAAACAGATTGAAATTGTAACTGATATTTCAATCGGTTTTCTTTACAAGTAAGAAAATGTACATTTATTTTTTTAGTCATTGGTAAATATTCAATAAAATTAGTGGAAGTCTCCTAAATGATTAAAATTATTTCCCAAAATCAAGGAAACACTGACTATAGACCAAAAAGTAAAAGTTACTATAATCTATTCTTTGGTAACCAAAAGTTAGCAAGTGTTTGATATTTCAAGTGACAGCGATATGTTATTTAAACATCTTCTCATTTCAACAAAGAAAAACTGGTAACAATGTTATTCCCACACAATTTAACTTCATTCCCACACAATGAAACAAAAATAACTCTTGGCTGTTCTATCATGTAAATTATAAAATGTTAGCTCTGATTTCAAATCTAGAATTTAACAGCTATTTTGCTGTTTGTTTTACCATGGCCCTAAATTATCCGTGTACATCTTAATTACAAATATGTAGCCCTTTGTGTCACATTGCCTAAAGGACATCCCAATTCCTTTTCAAAGATATAAATTTATGTAAAGGTAATAGGTTCCTGAAAAGCCAAACAGATGGGCTGTAATATGGCTGCATAGCAGTCAGTTCTGTATTACAACAGCATTTCTTTCCTGTTGGATTTTTTAAAAAAATAATTCAGACTGAAGATCATCTGTTGCTATGATCACGATAGTGGCACAGCTAACTATTATGATGTAGTCAGACTAGCAGAGAAGCCCACACTAGAAGAAGCAGTGGGAAAATGCCAACCCTGCTAACTCCAATAGGCTGCATATTTAATTCTTTCAGTCCCTGCTCAAATGGATGCCTAAGTTTCATAAACTTACACACTTAAAAAGCTACTGCCATCTAGTACCACAGAAGGTTCCCATTTTTCTTGCAGGCTTACTTTAGTTTTTTACACCCTCCAAAATGGGGAGGGAGGAAAGAAAGAAAAATCACCCAGAAGCCAAGAATACCTGGTGAATTGCTTTTTGTTTTCATCTAGAGGATTTTTAAGGCTTTAGAAGTCTTCCTGCTAGTTACTTTCAGACTAAGAAGTCCCAGAGGTATCAGTACTGCAGCATCAATTTATGAGCACATGCTATACGGTTGGCAGCAAAGTACAGTATATTGTACTTACTATGACCTGTTGCCAGGTCTGGCTCCTTATTTCTTGCATATACTTTTTAAAATTCTAGCTTAACTGTGCCTTGTTTCTTAATCCACAACCCTTTTTACCTAATGACCATACATATATCTTTAAAAGATTTGGTATTGCCAACTAAACTACCAAATCTGGGTGTACTGTGGAACTGTCACTGGAACCTCCATCTTCATGAAAGTCAATTTCATCAATGTCAAACACATCCAGCTGCTCCTCTTCCAAAGACTTGTGAGTCCTGTTTTCTCCAGGTTCTGTTGCTTCTATGTCTCCCTCGCTGATAACAGTCATAGGGCTACTCTGGATCCGGTTTCGAACACTGTACTTGCTGCTTGCAGCAGAGGGTGGGGTTCGAGATCGACTATACCTGGCACTGGAAAAGGACAGGCTCCTTGGCATCAGGCCTTCACTCCTGGCCCATTCTTCCTGGGCCCGTCTGTTCTTGGTAGGAGAAGAACTTGTGGTATTGTCACTGAGATCCCAGGGCAAGTCTACCTTGGCTCTTTGAAACCTTGGGTCTGTATTCTTGAGCATCTCTGCTGCTGACATGCGAGAACTAGTGTCTGAGCGACTCCCTTTCTTAAGCAGCAAAGCTTTAAAGTTGTCATTGCTGGTACTACTCTTGCGAATGCTTCTTTGAATTGATCCTGCCTGCTTAAGGGAACACAGATTTGGGGAAGCACCTGTTGGTGTAACTGGGGGTGATGGCGAATGATTTCGGCCATGATCATCCTCAGAGTCTTTGCGGCCAAGGACTTTCCTTTTGGATCTATGATATTAATGTAGAAGGAAAACAGAAAAACACTATTAGTATCTCACATAAAAAGCCCATCATTCTACATGCTACTAAGAAAAAGCTGATGTTCGTTAACAACAAAGATGAATGGTAACTATAAAACGTAGTGAGCTACAGCAGAAAGAAATATTGATGCTCTAATAACAGAGTATACCTCTGAAATAACACAATTATTTTAATCTCCCAGCACAGAATTAAATTAATCTAATTAATTTAAATTTCTAAGATTTAAGATTTTGTGAAACAAATATCTGAATCTTGCTAAATATTATTTTCTTAATGAAAAAACTTTTCAATGTAATAGTAGCATTTCCCAAATGAATGTCGTATACAGAACATGTACTGGTGACATTTGTCAAGTTGTTCAAAATGAAATTGCCAAACTGAGTGAAATTAATGAAGACTAAATGAAATTCATACTCTCCATGGGGAGTTAGCAGCCTAGCAAGCATTTAACTTGCCTATCGAATAGTAATTAGCACATAGCACAGAGTACTAAATATGGAGCATCATCTAAAAAGCTGCTACATGACCTTGCAAAGAGAAAATGATATCTCTTAAAACTACAAATTAATATGCCTAGAGGGGAAATCACAGAGCCTATAGTTTAAAAACAGAGTGTAGATAAGTGATTAAGTAGGGTAAAATGCAAGTAGCATTTGTATCAAATTAATACTAACAGTGCTAATCCAAACATCAATTCATTTAAAAAAGAATACTAGACTGTTTAAATGAACAACTACTATGTGCTGGACTTCTTTTGCCTGCAGAGAATGAAAAAAATTAACAAAATAATACCACTTTTGGAGGGGGAACTAAGTTCAGAAGTGACTGAACAATATGTTCATTTGCCAGTTTCTAAAAACAGCCCTCAATGAGTCTTGGACTCTTGTGTGACCCTCGCCCTTTCCAGAAGAGAAAGGAACAGAAAAGCATATGCTTTGCTTTTACTTAAACTTCTGGAAAGAAGTGGGAGCAGGGTAAAATAAAATCAGGTTCATAGCTACACTGAATGAGCACTCATTCATCACTTTCTTGATGCAATATTGAAATTGAGACGTATGCATGCCTAGTTTGAAATAAAGAGGTCTAAACAGCCATATGTTTCTGTATACATCCATTGAAATTAAGTTTCATGTGTAGAGTTGTAGATAAAATTACCGGCAATAGTACCTATCACCAAAGCAAATAGTATATTACAATTTCAGGAAAAAGGTAGACGTGTACTGTTCCCATATTCATTTCAGTTTCTGGTGGTGGAGGATAGGGAAGAAATCAGAAAAAGCTGTGAGCTATAAATTGGAAGATATATAAACGTGGACTAGTACTGTTTATCTGTGGCTTGTTACTAGACACCTAAATTAAGGATACAGTATGAAATAGAGCTGGGCCTTTTATATTTACACACAAGACAAAAGAGAGGCTTGCTTTTTGTTTTTGCATTCTTTTATCACTTACCAAAAGGATGCCACTTCAACACAAATTATTCCTACTAACAAAATCAGGGTACACAAACATTTTGCATGTCTTTTGTGTTTCCCCACCTTTTTTCCCACCTTTCTTTCTACCTTCAAATGGCCTGGGAAATTTTTCAGTCAAAAGTATCATGAGGGCTGCGATGAGCAGCCAATCAGACTATCTGGGAAGGAAGGAATTTTTAACATTAAAAGGACTTGGGTTGGTTGGTACCTAGTGAGGAGCACTTTGTTCTTTACCTCAGTCATTCCTTGTGGGTATGTGAGGTTTTAGTGCCCTCCATCTTGGTGTGTGCTGGCTAACTGATTGCCTGCATGTTTGTGTGTGTATATGATCCTTTCCTGTTTTTCTTTTCTTATTTTTTTAGGGGGGGCGGGGTTCAACTTTCCCTTATATCTTTGGATTATTTTTTGCTTCTGCCACCAGGCAACCTGCCTGTGCCAGGATGCATACTTGTTATTATTTTTTGGATTATCCCACCAGTTTTCTTTGATAATTCCCCACCTCTTTGGCCCTTTCATTCCTTGGGGTTTTTTTTTCTGTCTGCCTGGCTGGCCACTAGACAGAAGGGAGGGGAGGGGAAGGGAGGAAAGGGAAGAGAAGAGAAGTGATAAGGGGACAGAAATCATCCTATATTATAGGTCTCTTTATATACTGTATTTTATAAGATGCCTCCCACTTTTCTAACCAAAAAAATTAAGAAAACATAACTTTGAGTATTCAGCCTCTGGGCTCAGAATGCTCGGACATTCGGAGTTCCTGTTGCATCTGAGCCTACAGGCTCCACCTCCAACGAGGTGTGTTCCAGTTGGTTTGTTCAGCATCAGCTGATGTTCCATAAGACTTGTGATTGGAGGAAGCTACAGTTGTGTTCAAAATTATTCAACCCCCACTGAAATTGAATGTTTTGGCCATTTTGACATTGATTTTGATCATTCAGTCATCTTGCTTACATTTACATGAAAGAGGCACTTGTAGGTCATGTGAAAAAGTAGTGTCTCGTACACGGAAAAATATGTTATATATATTTTTTTGTGTGTGTGTGTGTGTGTGTGTGTGTGTGTGTGTGTGTGTGTGTGTAAGAATGTACTCTCCCTGTTTTTAAAAACTGATTGATTTTTAAAAATAGTTTTTGGTTAATTTACTGTTTATTTATTCTGTTAAACATATATACTCTATTTCGGTGAGGCTGTTGGTGACTATTTCATTTGCTTTTGTGGAGCTGTGTGAGAAAGGAGGTCATCTTTTTGACTGGCCATGTGCCACTGGGCTCTGTGGTGGTGATTGGTCAGGCACAGCCTGCTACAGCTTTTTTTTTTTGGTTTGTTTGTTAGTTTTAAGCCAATGTTATGGGTTCTTTGAAGTCTTTTTCTTTCTAGCATTAGTCTTTTGGACTAATGCTAGAAAACATGAATGGGGGAAACCTTAAAATGAAATGATCCAAAGGAGGTGGTCCTTTTTGTGTAAAACAAAAGGATGAGTGAACAAAAAAATGCAAAAACAAAAGATGCCTCAGAAAGAACCTGAAATAAATATATGTGTTTTGCCATATTAATCCCTAGCATGAATGTGGTCACCAGGGGGCACTGTTCACAATACTTTTTATGTAAGTTTAACACAAAATATTCATTTTTCTTTTTCTTATCAGGTAGTACAGCCTACTTTTCTTATTAAAAAACCTAAAGAGCCAGGCACACAGAAAAATAAAGCACATTCAAAGAGGATGGAACAATTTATGGAAATGTCTTATTATGCTTACATTATTTACTCTGTGATTTCTCTCTGTTCATAACTGGAAGTGTCACGTAACATTTACAATAAACTTTGCACTATGAAGCAGCAGCATGACAAACACCAAATTGTAGCACATCAGTTGTCTTATATCAGTACCCATGGGATGTATCCTTGCTTACAATGAATGATTTGAAGGAGGCCACACAACTGAAACTCCGGTGTTTCAAAAGAATGTTCTCCAGTTTTTGTAAAAATCTGTGTTCGGGGCTTATTCACATAAAACCCACTCTTTTACAGGAAAGTCAGGGGCAAAAGGTTGGGAGGGAAGAGTGTCAAAATTCTCTTACCCACACAAACACTGTTCTGTCGCAACAGGGCGGATGCTATTGTGAACACCACATAGCTGAACAATTATTTCAGCAATCCAGAGATTTGGCACGTAGCTGGGAATTTTTCCTTTTTTCTTTGAATAGCGGATTCTGGGTACTCTCAGCTATTTGAATGTAAACATGAACTTGCCCAAAATCTGGATATTTATGTGTGATATTGTAGCAAATTTTAGTTGCAATTCAAAAATCTGTTCAATATATAGCAAGACATGGCCAGGAGAGGGAACTCGTGTTGCACATTTGAGATTGCAAGTTAAGATCAGACTGTTTTTTCTGTGGATGTTTTACTATTTCTGGTAGAACCTCAGTTAATTTTTCTAAAGGGGCTGATCTCTAAAATATCTGTTATTGAAAGAGTTTATATGAAGAATATTAATAACGTGTAGCCCATTGAAATCCATAGCAATTATTTATCTATTGAGCTTTCTTTTCTTTTTAAATCAAGATAAAATGAAGTTGAGGTATCGATTGTCTGTGTTGCAATTTTCAATGAATAAATCTGTGTGCCACAAAACAGCCCTTCTTCAACTGGATTATCACAATCTATAATCCAGCTATAGTCATATGTTTTGCCATATGACTGATATATCATGTTTACTTGCCAGTTTAAGCCAAGCTTGCCATGAAGCATTAGAGTTGAGCCTCTGTCCCAAACTGCACCATATAATCAGCGGAGGAGAGTAAAGAGGGATGGAAGGCAAAAGGAATGAAAACAAAAGATACACAGAGAAAGCAATATTATAGTTTAAATCAAGCAGATTTGAGTGCAATGGTACAATATAAACAAGGAGACACTTGGCATCAAGGAGATAAAGGCTGACAATTTTACATAACTGGATTTTGCTGGTAGTAAAATTCAGCTTCAAAATTAGTGAAAGGTTATTGCAGAGCAATGAAAGGTACATAAACGTGATGTACTCTAGCTAGAGATACTTGCATCTAAAACACGTTTCTTATTTTTTTTAAAAAAAAATGCAATCCAACATATGAACATTGTCTATGATAGAAAGCCACAATAAAGGAACATCAAAGTTAACAGACGGAGCAACACAGATGAGGCACCTTAAGCCATACCTGTGAATGGCTGCAAAAAGATCCTCAGTAGTCCGTGGTCTAGTTGGCATTGCCACCATCTCACTGCCTTCCTCAAGAACAGGGCTTTGCAGTAAAAGAATGGTTGCTGCATCTGATTCAGACACTTCAGCTGAAATGTAAGTGTGAAAATTACATGGCACTGAATGCTCTTGATGTCAGAAAAAAACAATCTTGAGTTCAGGAGCCAACATAAACACAACATAAGCACATACACATTTCTCTAAATACAGATAATCATAACCTGTCTGTTTATTGACAACAGCAACAACACTTTTTAGTAACTGTAGTCCGCAAAAAGCTTTTATTTGGTTACAAAGAACATAAAAAAATTATTTTGGGGTTTCTCACCTCCCACTAATGGTCAGCATCAGTTATCAGTTTAAAAGATAAACTGTCATATCACATTTTTTTAGAACATAAGTTGACAACATCTTGCAAAATCTCTTATCAAAAAGAAAGAACAAATCCCAAGGCATGAGAGATTCTTTACATGTAAGTCACCCAGGCTCTCTGATTTCCCTTATGGTCTCTGTATGTTCTTGCACTGATTATTTTGCAGCTAAGTCAGCTTTATATAACTCTTCCCACACAATACAATAGGTGAAAAGGCAGAATGGCACTGGAAGCAGACTTACCACTTTCATCCCCCTGAGGCAGGTGCCTATCTGGTATCGAGAGTCTGTCTCCATTTCTGTCAGCACCAATTTCTTCAAATATGCAAGTCTGTTCCTCCTGTGCGGGCTGCTGTGTTGAGATGCTGCTTTCCAGTGTATCATAGGCTGGGGAACTGACAGCTCCTCCTCCTGGAACCAGACCGCCAGAGTCCATTTCAAAGGAAGAGAATCCATCTGCAGGATAGTCTTCAGCCTGGCTGTACTGTACAACTGCAGCATCACTTGTAGTTACAATTGGAGAGCTTCTGACTGTTTCACTCACTTCTCCTATTTTTTCTGCTGCAACATCGGGCTGTGGGGGTGGTACCATCACAAACAGTTTGGGTTTCTTTGAAACAGGTGGTGGCTTCTTGTTTGGTGATGTACCTTGAAGCTTGTTGAGAAACCCTGACTCTCCCAGGAGTGATGAACTTAAAAGATCACAGTGAGAACCTTGGTTCTGCTCTAGTGCTTCTTCAACACTAGCGTGTGGTAAATTGGTGGTAAATGAGTGAGCTAGATTTGCTCCATCTCCAAGCATTTTATTACTGGTATGTTGAGGCCCACCATCACTGAGGCTTGGATAAGACCTGTGACTAAGGCTGTAAACAAAACTTTTGTCAGAAACTCTCTGGGGTTTCACCTCACCATCATCCACACTCTCATTCTCCTTCATAGGCGCACACGGTTTTAAAGGTGACTGTGTTGAAAAAACTTCAGCCAATTTTTCCTGAGAATAGGTTTTGGAAGTGGATTCAACTGACTCTTCTGCCTCCGATATTGCCGCTTTCCGTACAGATCTTAGCTGTACCATTTGAAGTGCTTGAGTGGTTACCAGAGGCATCGCAGGCCTCGGGAGCTCTTCCTTGTTTAATGGCTGTTTTATTGTGCTGTGATAAGAATCTTCCTGAATGTATTTTTTTGACAAATAGGGGGCATGTTTATATGGATCTTTTGTGAATTTGGGGTCCAGTGCTGGTGCTGGTGGAGGGACTGAAGAGGGGAAAGGAGGAGGGGGAAGGGGAAGAGATGAAGGAAAGAAATGACTCACTGTCGAATCTTGACAATGAAGCCACGGAGCATTCTGAGGAAATGATGCACTTACAACAGCTTCTGGGGGAGGTGGTGGGAAATTGGGAGACCCAGGGGGAGGAGGCACGTCTATACCATCTGCTGCTGGGGGTGGTGGGGGAGGAAGAAGAGCATCACCAGTGTCGTTGTCGGGAGACATGAGTGGGGAAGGAGAAACCAGAGGGAAGCTCAGTCCAGGGTCAGGTTTCTTCACACTCACACTTCCTTCAGCAGATGTATTGGAAGAAAGTGATGTGGAGGAGGAAGACACTGAAACGGAAGACAGCAGGGATGACTTCCTTTCAGGCACTTTAGGCTTTGTCTTGGGCCTCCCATTTCCTGTTGACATAGATCTGAGAATGACCGGCACCGGTGTAAGTGCTGTAGGTGTGTTGGACTGGCTAGAATATCCACTAGATGGTGATGTTACTCTATGTGATTTTTCTGGAGAAGTGATTTTTGGTTTGGATAACCCACTGGGCACATGTGGTGCAGAAGCTTTGGATGTGTCATCAGGGTGGCTGATGCTAACATTATACTCATTCAGCTTGGGTGCAGAATTAGTGGAATGAACTACTGGGGATTTTAACTGATCATCAGGCATCCCAGGAAAATCACTATAATAACCCCACTGGTCAGCATATTCTGATTTGATACTGCTCGTCTCACTCTGGGAAGGTGTGACAGCACAGATGGAGTACATGTTCAGGCCTGTTGCAGACATCATGCTGCTACTGGCACTCACTGAACTTTGGCTACGTGAGCGCAGCACCCACGGGTCATCATAATCACTGCAGGGGCTTTGGGATGGTGAGCTGCCATTTTTGCTCTTGAGGTTCAACTGCAAGGAGTGTTGGAGGCTAGCAATCAACGAGTCATCCAATACTTGCCCATTGGACTCAGATTTCTTCTTGGGGATCCTTCTGAGAGAGTCTGTTCTAGATGGTGGTAGAGGTGGTTTCTTTGCTTTTTTCAAGGATATGCTTCGTGAGAGGGACTTGTCACTGCAGCTCGACAAGTCCCCCAGAGATTTCTTCTCAACTCCATCAAACACATTAGTGACGCTATGCCTGGGGTTACCAAAGCTGTTATTACTGCAGGCTTTACCAGACTTGAGTCCAGAGTCAACATGCATGGAGGTGTAATACCCATCATGGTCCACAGAATATAAAGAGCTTGAGTCTTCTTTGGCTGAGACTCTTTCAAGACTACCAGTGCTCAAGGTACTCACAGGTGTGGAGCATGCTGGAGTAGCACAATTCAACTTGTGTATAGGAGTCTCTTCATTTTCAGAGCGTTTGAACCCACTGTAGTTTGTGGTGTTCAGAACTCTTCCTTGTGTTTTTTCTCCCAAATAACCTGATTCACTTTGACTCTCAATGTCTCGAGAGTGGCTGGGAAGATTCAGATTGTTCCTACAGTTGGTGGTAAGATTTTGAGGGGCATTTCCCAAAGTTCCTGCACCACTAAGAGATACTCCTGAATCTCCAAGAGCATGCACCATCACAGCATTTGATGATACAGTGTCTGAGGAGTGTGAGTGATGTGTTGAACTATTCTCCCTCCAAGTACCACTAGAAGAATTATGTTGGTCTCTTGTGCTTGCCATGCTGTTGGCAACAAGATTGTCTCTAGGTTTTGAATATGAAGAGGAACTTGTGATTTTACTATCCGCTGATCCAGCACTGTGTGTGGTGTGAATGGCAATCACTTCTGAGGAAGATGACAGAGTAGCATTTGGTATGATGCTGGTTGAGTAAGTTGCATGTGGAGAAACCACACATGCTGGGCCTTCTGCTTGTTCTCTCCCAAAGTTCCTTACCTCTTGAGGCTTTGTTCTTGGAAGCACATCTGTCCTACCGCTGTTCCTCAGGTGATCTATGCTACCATCTGCTTGCAATCTGCTTATCAGATGTGATGAAGCTCCATCTTCTGTTGACTTAGAGAGGCTGTGCCTACGTTCCAATAGCTGTAGGGACACTCTTGCCCCAGACCGAGGTAGGCTATGAAAACCTAGATCATTGTTTAAGCGAGAAGGAAATACTACTCCAGCAGAATCACTCATCACAGACATATTGCCAGAAGAACTGGACAACAGTGACATCTGGGCTGCAATTCCTTGGCCTTTCTGTGCACGTATTCGCCTCACTGAAGGTGGCACCACTTTAACTTCCTCTGTCTGACAGCTGGAGTCCTTGGTGTCACACTGTTGCACAGAAGAGCGATAGCTATCAAGTCTTCCTAGCGTGGAATAGCGATCAGGGACACATAACGAATGGCTACGGAAGTCGCTTTTACCAGTGCCAACTGCTGAAGTTAAAATAAAAAATATATATTATTACATAAACGGTGATACCATCACATTTAAAATGCTGCACTCATTAACAAAATGTCATACTGATTTGCTGCAGTGCACATTACAAACATGTTCATTTCTTCAAATGCTGTTTTTAAAGAAAATGGACTACTGTGTATAATAGTAGCTGCCATTATTCAACCATTATGTAAAAACTAAATGGAAACAATATCAGCATACTGGACTTCCTGTGCACTTCACTACAGATATGTTTTAAATAACAATTACTACTGCTGTATCCAGAAAACTGTAACATGTCAAAGTTTAATACAGTATTTTATATACATTATATTAATTAAGCCATGTTGTATCATCATTAATCCCTAGCTTGGGATTTTTAGATACTGGCTACAGCTTCATTGTTGTATTTTCCATTTACAAACACCATATGAACCTGAAATCCATAAAATTCTACATAATGTGTACTGCATTACATTGAGGGTGGCTAATATCCAGGGACCTTCAGACCACACAAGTCCATCTCTGGACATTTCACTCACTCTGGTTTTCTGGGGAGTGCATCTGGATCCCCAGGGGTTTCCATGCAGTCCGAAGCCATTTGCTGCCTACTCATGTTTTACACAATATTAGTCACTTTAAATGTGAAATACTTCCTTTCTGCACTATGCTAGAAGAAAAATCTAGCCATAACAATTGCTTTAAAAAAACACTAACCATTTAAATCAAAGCCACACTGAAGAAAGTAAATGTATGCAATGAAGAAATCATGTACGTAAGAACAATGATTCACAAGGGTTGACCAATTTTCTATGAAGTTAAAGTTATCTACCCGAATTTTACCTTGGTCCTATTGTTATCTATAACTCCTTTTACACTGGACTGGGGTGGTGGGGAGAGAAAGGAGATTGAATTGTAAAATCAGAAGAGAGCTCCAGAAAAGTTTCAAGAAAAATGGGCTACTACCTTAGAAGACGTCAGGTGGTTTCCAATTGCTCTTACTTACATTTGAAATAATCTTAGAACTGCAGAGCTGGAAGGGACCCTATTGATCATAGAGTCCAGCCCTCATCAAGGAGGCACAGCGGAGAGTCGAACTCACAAATTCTGGCTCTGCAGCCATATACTTAAACCACTGAGTTATCCAATGAAACAGGACACCAAGTTCTGGTTCCTCAGTGAGGATAAACAAAAGGAGAATGCTGTTCTAGTATGGTTTGCCTTCTGATGCAGACTCTGCTCCCAAATTAGATGATGTGTCAGTTCAGACTACAGATGACAGAGAGATCTGCAGGGACTTTAATTTAATAGTTACAAATAGTATGCTGGCGAGCAACCAATTACCTCGCTCCATAAGACGCACAGACTTTCCATCCCCCTGTTTTGTGGGAAAAAAGTGCATCTTATAGTGCGAAAAATATGGTACTCTGGCTTATAGTTGGGGAGGCTAAAGAAACCATGGAGGTTTGCTGTCTGAACATGATGGCTCTCATATCTCTGGCTGGCTGTTCTTCCAACCAGCTAAAGAAAGAATTCAGGACTTCTTTTAGGCTTGCTTTAGTTAACATAGAGTGCTGGCTGCCTTTTGTGAACTGAGAGTGTTACCTTAAATGTAACTCACACCTCTTGTCACCTAGCATTGTTAAGGAAGATGAACGGTGGCCAGCAAGCTGACATTCAAGGAAGATCTTTTGTCATTATTAATTTTATCACAAAAGAATGTCCCAGCCTCAGACCTCACCAGAACACAGTTCCAAAGCCACTTAGGTCGGAAACCAGCAGGTTGTACAATTATATCACTATAGATAAAATCCTATTAAAATGGCATCTTCATGTCTCCAAATTGTAGTGTGATGGTGTGGGGGGAAAAGAGGGTGTGGCAGAGAAACTTTGTTATTTGAAGCATTGCAGGTCACTGCAAAAGAACGACTGCAATGAAATGCTTGCTCCTGAGCTACTCTTGAAGGAGGTTTTATAGCATGTCAGATAAGGAGTTCCCTCCCAGCACTTTGCAGTTATCTTGATTGTTCAGTGCAAGTGGACTGTGAAAAGTAAGGGCATTTGCCCCATAAATTTTAATAGCTGTTCAGGCTACATTCACTTGCTATTTTCCTTGGCAAAAACCACACTAGTAATAGAGAGAAAGGAAGAATAGGAAAAAGTTAGGGATAAGGCCACTTATAAAACACTGAACTTGTTTTTACTCTTTCGAATAAAATCAAACCTTCACACACAACTGTAATATATTTTGCTCACTTTTAAGGTACCTCTCTGCTCAAAAAAACAAAAACAAAACATAAACAGAAGCCCTGTTTCCATGGATGTCAGTGTGACTTTATCAGGAACTTCAGTGTAATGAGAATGTGACCTTTTGAATTTCTCTAGCCTAACAGGCTCCAGTGAAAAATTGTGTTATATCCCTTCATGCAGGGCAAGCAGTCTAATAAGTTTTAACAGCAAAGCTTTATCAAAAGGTTGATGGGAAAAAAGCCATTCAAATAACACAAATGAAGACAAATTAGAAATCATATCTACTTACTTTTAAAGTGAGAAAAATTTGCATTTTACTGAGTGGAAGAAAGGGTTTCCGATTCAAAGTGAAGCATGGATACAATATAAATCTGCACAGAGGTGTGTGACATGTTCACCTCCATACTTTGAAGGTTGATGCACTCCACCGCACCTTCCAAATGCTGATGCTAGCTATTGTACAGTAATAGGGACATGGGCATTTAATCACAGAAAGGGCATTTTAGTCATATAAGAGATACTTGAATAATGCCGTGACAATCAGCAACTCATCATGGTTAGAAATGAATATGAATGCCTATGGAAGAGGGTGAGTGGCCTTTGCAATTTGCAAAAAAGGGATCAATGTTCAAAGAGAGAGATTTAACACACACGTGCACACATATCCACTTGCTATGGAAGACTATCACCAGAATGGGCAAAAGCAGCTTTTTGCCCAAACAGTGGCCAAAGAATGGAGCTGGTTGACTACATCCTTGTTAGAATGTTTGCTTGACTCTAACCAGCAATTGCCCTGGAATTGCAGATCTAAAAAGAGACATGGCTTAGCCCCATTCATCAGTCAGTGGGATGAATCTGTGTGGATCTGTATGTATGTATAGGATTATAATTTTAATAGGAACTCTTGTAATCATTTGATCAGAAGGTACAATATAAGTATAAATAATAAAAGGGCATTCAGAGTTATCTGTAGAGAATCATCAAAGTCACTGTCTTTCATGCTGGTTATATCCATACCTTCTTTGAAAAGAAAGAACTAATGAATAAATATTGACAGAATCAAGATTATTTGCACTTGGTTTTTTTTTAAGGCAAGAGTGGGAGTGACTGAATATTAACAGGCTTATGTGAAATCTTAAAAAGCGGCTTCCTGCTTTAAAGGTTTCTCAGCTTGCATCCACATCATCAAAGTTTGGCAGGAAATAGAAGTTATTTATGACAAAATCCTTTGCTCAAACAGAAATGCCAAACCCATAATCCAGCAGCAACAAGAGTGTGTATCTGAGCTGAAATTCCTAACAAACTGGAAGAGATTAGTAATGAAGTTTAACTGCTTGGTGATTTCACAAGAGAAATTATCTTTATTTCTTGGCTCAAATCACATTATCTGGATAGAATTTATGAAGGAACAATATTCTTGCTTTGTGAAAGATCATACTCATGACTGATGATAAAGTGCCCATGGTGTGTTTGTTGCTCTCGAGGAGGGCCTCATAACTCTGAGAAAGCATTTCCATTTTTGACCCTGGAGACAAGGACATATACAAGGCAACCATGGGTAATGCTGCTGCTCTCCAGTCTTTGCTGCTACAACTGGTGGAAGTATAGCTGGCTGTAACGTTGCTCTTGACCTTGTTGTATGGCTCTAGCCAACAGCCATGCACTGCGGTGGATTGGAGAGCGGCAGTAAAGACTCGGAATGGGTAGGAGTTGGCCAAGAAGAAGGTATATGCTAATACTTGGAAACCTTGCACCTCCATGAAGAGGGAAGGAGCATGGTCATGTGACAAAACTCCTTGTACTGACTGCAGAAAGGAGGCAGCTCCAGATAAGCCTTCTGTTTTTCACAACTAAACCTCACCTTTCCAAACTTATCAATAAGCAACAAACTGTGATTGTCAAACCTTGTTTTTAATTAAACTAGCACCCAGGCAGGGAACCTTATTTACTATAAAACATTTAAAGGTAGGGAGGGAGTTATGATGATTATGCTGATTAAGGCAATTAGCTGAACGGTAATTATTTTATAGCAGAATCTGGGTAGGGAAATCATTTGAAAAAAATCTGTTGAAGATAATATCTGTGTGGTAAAAAATTAACTGCAAGTGGAATGTATTGTGTGCTGGTTTGTACATTTACAAAAAAAACATATCCAACAGAGAGGGGAATTTGTTGGCTATTGTTCTACCAACTTAAGTGCACTGTGGAAAGCCTTAAGATTCTATATAATGCTCTTTTTTGAAACTGTGCAGCCATGATTCCAAAAGAATACGTATATGTACTTATATGCCGCCCAGAGACCTTTGGGTAGTGTGGGTGGCATATAAGTTAAATAAATAAATACAGTTTAAAATTCAATTTAAGATTAAGTGGTGTTAAGAGGACTGAGATGTCATTCCAGTAAATGCTGTACTGCTTCTGCATCTATTTTAGTTCTTTTCTCCTTGTTCATCAATTTTTGCTTTACTGTTTATATCTACTATAAGTAAAGATTTGCTTATGTTCTTGATAGCTTTTGTGTGGCACATGAACCTAACACTCTTTTGTATTAATATTCTCACATTCCTTTTTTTACAGATTTACCTACTGCTCCATAGCAAGCTTCTAAATGTCAAGGAATGTTACTCTAAGCAGCAAAACACACAACTATTCAACAAGCAAACTATGCAGATGTGATGTAGTAGCACGTATTTGCGCATAGGTAAAAATCACAAAACCCACTGCAGCTCAAAGTTTAGAATTCTTTCTGTGTAGCAGTGTGAATGGACTGTGCACATTACATTTGTTGCATAAAACCTTGGAGAAGGATGGAATTGATTTAAATCAAACTGATTTATCTCACAATTTAATTTTTTCAATTGATTTTTTAAAAATTTAAATGGTAAAAAAGTGATATTTAAATTTTAAGTTGTCATTTAAATCAATCTGATTTTTTTAAAAAAAATATTGATTTTTTTTTAATCCACCCTGCCCTGGAGGTATCAGGTTTTAGACAGATCCCTCACACTTGACCCAACATTCTGCGTATGAGTGAGCACCCTGCACATTCTGACTTTCCCAGTAGAATCTCCTGAGCCCCAATCAAGATAAAGCTTTTGGATATACCCCTCACTGTCCCTAGATCTGCATAAAGAAAGAATTAACACCTACCGTTTATCATTGCATCATTACAAATACCCTAGAAAACAGGAGTAAATTAAGCAACTCTTAAATAATGAGAATGTAGAAACAAGAGAGACATGACGGCAGAGCAATGCTAACCTCTTCATAAACATTCACGAAACAACTGCTGTCAGACCAGGAGTCTCATAGAATTATGGAATTCATTCTAAAGAGACAAGTGTTTCTCGAGCAACAGTTCCACATATAGGAAAACCAGTTTTGAAACTAACAACACTCTCAAAAGTGATTTATTAATATGTCTGAGACTCTGTAGCTCCCAGAGATCAGCAGAGGAATTAAGATTCCTACACTGTAATTTGGACATGACTAAAGTAGCTTTTCGGATCTAGCATGTGTTTTACTTCTTTCTATACATTAATGACAAGAAATCAATCTGTTCATCATCGCTGGACTCTGTCTTGAGCTCGATTTTTTTTTAAAAGATGCAGTACAGCCCCATAGCCATTGCTGACTGTAACTTCCTGCAATCTTCTTCATTGGAAATTCTGGCTAAGACTGATGAGAGAGAGAAGCCAACAAAATCTGGAAGGTCACATTTTGCCCACCACTGCTCTAAGTTATGTAGGTACCCTCAGTCCCTGTTTGCTCTTATTAAGGGAGGCTGGGAAAAATGGAATTGACATCTGGATGCCTGCTGTCTACTAGTGTACCAATAGTTCTAGATTAGGCAACAATTGGCATGATGCATGGGATAGTGTCTGTTCTCCTTAGGAACAGCAGAGGAAAGAAGGGAGCAAGTTCAAGTTCAATCAGATTGTACATGCTTTGCATACGGATGGTAATAATGTCATCCTCTATCAGCAAAGTCTGTATGGCATGACCTAATAAGAACAATGATTTTTGACCTATACTCCTTCTAATGTTGTCCTTAATCACTAAAGTGATATCCTTAGGCTTTCTCAAGTTTCATTTCTAGCATCTATGCACTCAGTACTTCCTAACTTGGTTGATCCCAATGTGACGTCTGCTATATTTTTCCTTTATTTCCTTGATGTTCACCATAGATACCACTTCTTGTAACTGCTCATTAGTTTTTAATGCTCTCTTCCAGTTTCTTCAGGGACGTGGTGGCACTATGGGCTAAACCGCAGAAGCCTGTGCTGCAGGGTCAGAAGACCAGCAGTCGTAAGATCAAATCCACGCAATGGAGTGAGCTCCCATCGCTTGTCCCAGCTCCTGCCAACCTAGCGGTTCAAAAGCATGTAAATGCAAGTAGATAAATAGGGACCACCTCGGTGGGAAGGTAACAGCATTCCGTGTCTAAGCCGCACTGGCCATGTGACCACGGAAGATTGTCTTCGGACAAAACGCTGCCTCTATGGCTTGGAAACGGGGATGAGCACCGCCCCCTAGAGTCAAACACGACTGGACAAAAACTGTCAAGGGGAACCTTTACCTTTCCAGTTTCTTCAACAAGAACTCTCCTCTTTCATCAAAGTACAAGCACTGGGAACAGATGCCAGCTCTTCTGGACTTAAACACATTGACCAGCATCCTCCTCAGCCTGTTCCAGTTATTGCAACAGGCAACTGCACAAAAGTGATTGGACTTTTAATGAGTTTGTGCAAGAAGGCATTCACTAACTTCTTGCACATGAAAAAGCTCTGTTCTTTTCAACTGGGCAACGTCTGACTTGGTATGCCATGCCTATGGGAATTAAAACACCACAATTATGAAGAGGATATGCTGCTCACTGATTGAATTCTCATCAATATTACTGCATAAGTCACATTCATCTCCTTCCTTTTCTGTATTTTAGATTATTACAACCATTATAATAATGATTTTAATAACCAGAAATTGGAGATGCCATTTCAAGGTAAGGAAGGTCACCTGCAAAGCTCTAACTGCTTCGGTACCAAGGAGAACTTGAAAGTAGTCAGCTGCAAATGCTAACAAATTTCTTTTTCCAATAGTAAAGGTAAGGTAAAGGTTCCCCTTGACAATTTTTGTCCAGTCGTGTTCGACTCTAGGGGGCGGTGCTCATCCCAGTTTCCAAGCCATAGAGCCAGCGTTTGTCCGAAGACGATCTTCCGTGGTCACATGGCCAGTGCGACTTAGACACGGAACGCTGTTACCTTCCCACCGAGGTGGTCCCTATTTATCTACTCGCATTTGCATGCATTTGAACCGCTAGGTTGGCGGGAGCTGGGACAAGCGACGGTAGCTCACTCCATCGCGTGGATTCGATCTTGCAACTGCTTGGTCTTTTGACCCTGCAGCACAGGCTTCTGCGGTTTAGCCCGCAACGCCACCACGTCCCGTTCCAATAGTAAGGGTGTTTAAACATTCTAACTATAATTTGACAAGTAATTTCACTCCTTTAGTGGTGTAACTGCAACTCTTACTCCACAATAGTGGAGGAAAAAAATGTTTCAAGTTCAGGCTTGGTTCTGGCTTTGTATGGGTGCCACAGGGTTTTCACCACAGACTAGCAGATTATAGTGTTGAAATAGTTAAAATAAATTGTAAGGACTCATTGCAGTGACTTTTCAGAAAAGAAAAATTACCTTTAAAAAACTAAGAGGCAGCTGTAACTGTAGCTAACTAACTCCACAATGGGGGAGGGAGGCTGGCTCACAACTATAGCAGTTAATTATTTATATATATAAAAGCATTTCAATTTCTAGGCCCTGTTACCTAAAGGGCTACCTCTTCCCTTGCCATTCAGCTTCCTCTGGACAAATTTGACTTAAGGAAGTTAATGGAAGGAAAGTTTTCCATTCTTTCCTCTCACTTGGAGCTGCCAATATCATCTCAAAGAGAGATTCAGAGCCTCCCGTGTATAGCGCAGGATAGGATGCAGAATGCTGTTAGGAGAGGGAAGAAATGGATGGAGCTTTGCAATAATAATGCAAAGATGGGAGAAAGAGGTTTGAGCCAGAAACACCAGCAGTTTTTATTCCACCAAGCTATAGTTAAAGGTCTGGTTCCTTAAAAATACCCAGTGTTGGTGTATTTACGACAGACATTTCTTCACTCAAACTAGGACTCACATTCATTAATCTGAAATACAGTCACAATATTTGCTATGGATGGACCAGTAGGAGAGCCAGTTCCTTATTGTTCACCTCATGCCATGTTTGTTAGCAAATTATCAATTACTGGGAAATTTTCTTCTACCCACCGTATGGCACAACAAAGTACACACCAGTTAACATGCTGATTTGAGACTGTCTAAAAATAATAAATTGTATGCATACATTCTTACCCTCCTAGAGATTTCTCTTGACGCAGCACTTAAGTTCAAAAAAGCACAGTTTTGCATAATACGCAGTGCGATAACTGAAAGTGGCATTTTAGTTTCAAGTGAGTGCAAAGTAATCAGTTTTATGCATGAACTATTCTTTCCTAGTGATCAGACACATTTCATTTGAACTCTTAACAGGCTATCAGACTGTATTGACCTCATGAGCACAGGTAAATGTTATGATTTTAGTCACGATAAGCAGAAATTATTAATTGTAATGGAATACAGTTCTGATGAGCCATACCTAGCTCTCTTTGGATGCTGTCAGGGATTCCTGTAATAGTCTTTCTCCTTTTCACTTTCTTCGGCCGCCTTACCACAGTATCTGTGTAAATTAGAGACCTCCGTATGCTGGCTTGGCGGTCAAAATTCTCCCCTGATGTACAGTAGAACAAGCAAAGCACCATTACTTTCAAGCACGCTGACATCATGCACTTTCTTCCGCTTGTTTATTGTAGAAATGAAGAAAAGGCATTAATATATGATGTTAGCTCAGTCATACAGAGTGGATATACACTAAAGGAAAAGATACAACTTACAGTCACTTTAAGGCTTAAACGTGGACAGGAGTTACATATATGCTCAGACCGAATCTTCATCTGATATAAGCATATTAGAAAGCCATAAATATAGCAAAGTCTTCTGGGGGCCTTATGATCCAGGTTCATCTTTTCATGTTGCTTGTGGGCCCACTGATAGCATTAGACAGCTTAGTAAATTCAGTTAAGACTGAACAAACACACACACACACCAGTCTGTCTCTCATTCTGTTCCCAAATAGCCATGTCAATTACCATGTTTAATAACATCAATATGTAATTCCTCATACAGATGAGAATCACACCAGATTGCACCAGCAATTGCAGTTATGTTTAATCTTTGGATGATTCTCTGTTTCCTAACACTATTGAATCCAAATAAGTTTGGACAGAATCGAAATCCTTATAAGATGCATATAAAGGGAGAAAGCCTTAAAGTTGACTGTGTTGTATCATAACTGGAACCAGCAGCACTACGACAGGTTGAATAGCTTTAAATGTATTCACTTTTTCAGTGAGTTAATAACTTGGTCATTTAAAAAAATTTGCTTCCTTTAACATTTAGGATGATTTACAAATTAGTTGAAACACATGATTGTTTCAGAGTTCTGATTTTGCTAGTATTTTCCTTCTTAAATATTTTGCATTCATCAGATACTTGTCAATTCTATACATACACGCTATGAGTAATACAGAAGTTTCCATGGGAAAAATGTATTACTCAACAATTTCGCTCTGTTTTAATTCAAGTAAAGAATATATGTTTTAGGAATTCAGGCATTTGAATTCCTAAAAAAAAAGTATTTTAAAACATTGAGATGACCAAGTTATTTCTCATTGAAAAGTGTTTCTGGCACGTGTTTGAATCTGCTCTGTGAGTTCGTCATACATGTCATCAATGGACCAGAACACTTCATCAGAATGTATGACATAAGGGAAACGTATGTAGGAAATGCCATTGACTTAAAAGATGCTAAGCAGCACACACTAATATGTAGCATGTGGCCTTCTTGGAAACACAGAAGCAAGGGCTTAGAGGCAGTTGTTCCATCACCAGTCACCCTATACAAAGGACTTGGATAATATTTGAGTGTGTGTATATATATATGGTGCTTTTTCTATAAAATTCTGTAACTCTATTAGGATGGCAAATAAGGGATACGAGAAGCATTGGAAATTTTACAGAATGAGCATTTTAGATTATCAGTAACCTCTTTTGCACATGCTGGGGGCAGACCACTGAGCATCACTGTGGATACAAACGAGGGTTGTAGTTGTCTTTTCCTGCACCAAAACCTGTACCCATTAAGGACACAAGGACACCTTTTGTGAAAAGATTTTTAAAATCAAAGGACTGTGTGTACAGAGGATGAAATGGCAAATACTTTGCAAGTCTGCAATACTCTACCAAATGCTAAGCAGAATTTTGCTGCTCTTCTGTTTCATCACATATTTCAGTCAGAGTGAATATGTAATTACATTTTCCCTACAATTCAGCAGAGTGTTACAGATGTTTGGTTTATCACATTTGCTAGACGTTTTGGTAAAATTATCATTTGGTAGATAGTTGCCTCTATTTATGGAAAGTCATGAGAATTAAAGCTGTTAGGACACTAGTATCTGAAAATAGATTGCATTTATTTAAAAAAAAAATGATTAACCTAATCTTTTTGGCAGTCTTCTTTCACTGCAATTTGGCCACTTAATATTCAGTAAAATGAAATCTTTAGCAGAATACTGTATTTGCACACCTGCTTAAATGTTTCTTCTTGATCAAGAAGCAGCTTAGTGAAGTCGGTGTTAGATAAACACATGCTTCAGAAATTTGCTGAATGAAACCATTAGTGTTTTTACTTGTGTCTTAGCTCAGGACAAACATCACCAATTCCTACTATCTTTTTGTAGCTGGCAAGACTTAATACCACAACACATCCCAAGATTAACATAGAGGACATAGTGTTTTTAAAAACATATGCCACCAGACTCTTATATCCTTTCCAAAGCAAGCTCAGCTCCTGCTGACCCAAGAAACTAAATCAATGCCCAAACCTGGATAGTCAGTCAGCAGTCTGCCAGATTAATGCAATGCCCCCAACGCCTTCAGGTTACCCATGGGATTTGTGGTACCTCAATCTGTTCTATTGGGGGGGGAAAGCACTGAAGGGGGGGGGAGGTTCATCTGTTGTGCAACCCAGTCAAAGGTCATTAATTCATTTCATTTAAAAGGCTCTTTATTTCTAAAATATACATCTAGGGTTAGTATTTTATTTCAAAGACATTAATACTGCATTATGATGAACAGCTCAGTCTAGTATCACTGACTGAGAAAGACAAAAATATCACCTTTCTGTGCAAAAAGAGAAAAGGGGGCAAATAATATAGATTGTGATATTCAATACTCCTTTCCTTTCAAATATCTGATTACTCTGAAATATTCTTATGAGCCTCTGATTACTGCATCATACAAAAAAATCTTGCTAATATTAGGGTTGATAGAAATCATGTAATAAAAAAAAAGGAATAACTAATTTAATGACTGTTAATCATTGACTGTTAATGAAATAAACCAAGTTGTCATAACCATTTATACTGTAATACTAAGCCCCCTAAGAAAGTGTCCTGGAGACCACTGGGCCATTCAGAATCTAACAGATTGAGAGATTGGACCTCAAACTTTTCCTGAAGATCCCTGCAGAACCTTCCACATCAGTCCTTAACCCCTGAACAATGTTGGGTGAGGTAAACGAAGATTGATTGAGGCATATTGTAGGAAGATTAGCCATGGGGGTCTTCTATATGCAGGAGCTAAAGCGCTTTTAGTCTCCTATGCTCCTTACAGCTTCGGTGAAGATGTAGGCCAGCCTTGGGAGTTGAAATCCTGCTTCTCCCTCTTTTCCACCTTGCTGGCATGAGCCCACGGATTTTGAATGCAGTAGTACATCCACCTTTGGAATTCCTGCCTGTGCTTTGCTGGACTGCTGTGTTAATATGCATTATTTAACACAAAATCTAAAACTCAATAGATGTCTATACCACTACTGGACACACAGTTAGCTAGCTGGACTGTGGCATATTATTATAATCCAGTAATGGTAACATACAGTAAATCCTAAACTATTGTTTATAGCAGTGCACAAATGTCTGCCAAGTGTCCCTCACTAGTGGACAGTACTGAACTACATTTTATTTCCCTTCTTAAGTGCATAACTGCACAAAGGAACACTGTAAACTTAATTAGTTTTGCTCACAGAAAAACTGCAGTTTCTTTTCACTTCTGCTTACTGCCTCTTAAGGAATCTGTGTGGTTTGCTTAAGGATAGAGAAAGATCTGGGTAACCACCAGATTTTTTATTTTTTTAAAATACTGTATTCAGCCATTGCATGTTTCTCTTCATCCTAGTAGCATCTTCTGTATAACCTGGAAGCTACATAGCATCTGAGAAACTCTAATTCAACTAAGTATACACCTCTTTCTAAATGTTGTTAAAACAAAAATCAGTGCCATCATTGTTGTAGGAGAGAAGGAAGACATGATCCTCATAATATCATTGATTGTGTTTCCATTAGTCCTACCATTCGGCATGCTGCTGGGGCTGAGAGAATCTGGAATTCAATAGCATCTGGAGGGTCAAAGATTCTTCCTCTTGCTTTGTGGTTTTCACTCCAAGTCTGATTTTTAACATGCCCAGTCACCCTGTTTTACAGCCCCTAGCCTGATAAGAGCTCTTGAAACATGATCACTTTCTCATAGTATTATGACACTTTAGTTGGTTCTAATAAAGATGTCATGCAACTGTGGTTTAGGTGTTTTTTTTTATCATGAGTCAAAGTAGTTAACTTTGCCTTCTACAGTTGCACTGTCAACTTTAAAATTTCATGTTGATTTCAGCAACATAAACTTTCTGATACTAATTTTTTCCTGTAAAGCTAGTACACACCATTTGTAAACAAAGTGATAATGAAACTGGTCCACTGATACCCATTTTGTGAGCCTATGAAAAGGGCAATATATGTTTTTTTTTAAAAAGGTAAAGAATCACCCTCCTCCTTTTATGTACCAAGAATATTTATTTCAGCAAGCACCACAGTGATGAATATATAAATCATTAGCTTGCTGATTTTTAAAATATCTGTTGGAACAAAAAGGAGTTTTTAAAATCCTAAGGAAAAAAAAAACACAATCAAAAATTTCATTTCCAAAAAGGTTGTTGATATAATTTTTGGATCTCAGCACATTTTCTAGCACTGAACATGAATCCTTTTGTTGGGTTCCCATTCTCCTGGCATTTCAAAGTCATGATGCTGAAGGGATGGCTTTTTGTACCCTGAATTCACTAGTAACTCAGTCAATCAATTTCTACATTTTTAGTGCATGTTTCACGAACACTTCAGATACATTTCAAATTACAGTCCATAAAAGATATTTTCATCTAAAATAAGAGAGCAGTGCCCACTCGAGATCTCTTGTTCTTCATTACCAGAAAACAACAAAATTAAAAGCTCACCTGTTACGTTAATAGGTATAACATCAGTTTGGACTGCTTGAGCCTGCTGTCGCATTTTCTCCTCTGGTGTTGGCAGTGGAAGTGATTTTGTCCAATTCGTTTGAGTGTCAATGTCAGAGAATTCATTTGAAACTGGTGTTCTGGGCCTCTTGATGGTAATAAGCTTTTCCTCTTCAGAAGGGGATGAACACTACAAAAGAAGAGTAATACTATAAATTCATTGCAAGCATGTTTATTTTACAAATATTTGTTAATATTAGTAAAAATACAGAATGTTTTCGAAAGCAAAACCATACAGTGGTATCTGTCATGGTTTCACTTTACCTAAAGACAAATCAGTCAAGACGTTGTTCCCTCTACATACAATCCTAATTTAAATAAAAACCTTCTTTAAATAAAAGTACCTGCCAATTCTCAGGTGAACAAAAAGTTGTTGCACAATTTTAAAAAGAGATATTTGGAGCCTGCTAACATCTTTTTATTATAGTATTCTGAGATAAGCTGCACTTGAATAACAAACAACAACAACAACAAACCCAACAACAACCAACCAATCAAACAATACCTGCACAAGCTATACTTCACTTTCTTATTACAAATTATCTGGTATATAGCATATCTAAATAAGTAGCCACTCACTTCCATTCATTGATTGTACTATTCTGAACTGTATCCAGCATGGGTTGTCTGTCTACAAAATAGCAGACTCCAACACTGTGTTGATTTTTAGCAAAAAGGAACCAGGTAGAATATCCTGTACATTTTCTAAAACTTGTATGCTTCCTGTAAGGAGGTTTAAAACATTTACTAGGTTCTCTTTTCCTCGTCTTGCTGCTTCAGCCATAGATGAAAAAATTATACTCTTATAGAAGAACTACAACTCTTCAGCTAAATGCACATTTTACATTTTCAGCATGCAAGCAGTGCAACTTTCAAGACAGAAGTTGTATAATACTACAAAGAAGAAAATACTCTAAAACCAGAAATCTTTTCAAATGGAAAGTGATTAATGTATATGATCCCCTTCCTCTCTTTTCCTGTCATCTCATGTTTTCCTAAACTTTGATGGTTATCTTAATAAGACAGAAAAATGCACATTATGTAAGTAGTATTAATGCATTAAATAAAGAAAAGAATATGTTAGTGAAGTACCAATCTTAAAGTTAAAAATAGGATTACTGAGTATTACAAAGTCAGAGATGTGGAAAAGTGGTTTATCACTTCCTGAACTAAATCCAAAGATACAGAATTTCCAGAAAAGCAGAGCTGATGCAATTGCTAGCATTTAAAAACCTCCTTTAATGTTTACATTTCTCCATTTGGTTAGTTGACACTGTCAAAATTTTAATGATATGTTGACCATCCTTTGTGTCTGAGAATTCAGCTGCTACAAGCAAGTCAACAGGAGACATTCAAACAGGATAATAGACAGAATGGAAATACATACTTCTTTTCCAAGGAAACTGCACAGCTGTGAATAAAGCACTTTTAAAACCAGTTTTGAGGCACAATATTGGTAGGATGAAAGGCAATATAACACATAGCTATAAAGAGAAACTTCTGGCACAACACTAGTTATGTATAATCTTACAAAATTTATTTTCTAATATTCAATAAATCAGCTATGCTGACCAATTACTGGCTGAAATTTGGCTTGCACAGCTATACCTATGGAAGATTCATTATGTCATCAATATGGGTGATTTTCAGAAATCAAACATTTCCTATTTCTGTCCCACAGCTTCCATGATTTCACGAATTCGCTTCAGTATGTTGAAGCTGAATGCACCATGGGACAGGAGGAGGAAGGATAGGAGCCTCATGGTACAGTGGTTAAACTGCAGTTCTGCAGCCAAAGTTCAGCTCATGACCTGGGTTCAATCCCAGGCAGCCAACTCAAGGTTTGCTCAGCTTTTGGTTGTTCTGGGTTTTTCGGGCTCTTTGGACATGTTCTGAAGGTTGTTCTTCCTGACGTTTCGCCAGTCTCTGTGGCCAGCATCTTCAGAGGACAGCAACCTGTACTCTGGCCCCATGTCATGTTTAAGCTGCACCAAATTTGCTTTTTAAATAATGCAGAACACATGTTCTAATCATGTATATAATGTGGCCAGAATCCTGTTACAAGAAACCAAGCATGGAAGGAAAATCACACAAGCACTTTCCCCCTTTGGCAAAATGGCTGTCATGTAATCAGTCTTGCAGCTGATCATGTGAAAGATAACTGACCAAAATGGGGGCAATTTTAGCAATTACCCTTCTGCAAGCAGTCTCTCCCAAGAGGATTCTAACTATTGTTTATTTTATACAATTAAATGGAGACTGTATCTCTGTGTTTCTTGTTTCTTTTCATTTTGTTTTGTTTTGGAGTACAACACTGAGAATACCCCAGCTATACAGCTAACGTCTATGCTGGTTGAGATAGTTTAAACACTGTAGTACAGAAAACACATTTTTACCATTTCTATTCTATATTATCAGCTTTGAAATGGTCATTAAAAACAATAACACAGCAACTCCCTCTTTCTGTTGGTCTTCTGCAAAATACAGCTGGAATCTGGGATAATTTCTAGTATAAATGCAATAAATAAATAAATAAATAATAATAGAAAACAAGGTGTGGGTTTTTCATGTGGGGGATACCTCCACTGCAGGAAGCTACTTTGTGTGCTGATCCCTGTGAACATCACAACATAAGGCATGTAAGTTTGGAAGAAACTAAGAGACACATATGTCCATTCCTAGGTCAAAAGAAAACAAAACAACCAAACTGTTTTCAATTTCTAATGCACAATAAGTGATTTTTAAAGCTGCAATAATCTGAATTATATGTAAGTTAACATAGTTTGTAGGAGTTAGTAAATATTTATAACCCACAGTTTGGAGAGCACCAAATGTGAAGCACAAAACTATTGTTAACCTATCAAATACACAAGCTGAGGGTTTTGGATTGCTAACAAAATGAAGCAATAGTTTTAAAAGGAAAGGAAAATGTCAATGTTATTACAATATTTGTTTTGTACAAGGAAACAAAGCAGCAATAGATGACAGTTTTAAAATAGCACAAATCAGACTTGAGACTATTCCGACATGACAGCAACATCAAGCTGCAGATACTACAGCTGGATGGTCCCAGTTTAGGGCTAGATACCTTGATCTTCCATGGAATCAAACAACAGCAGGCATTAAGGCAAGACTGAGGGAGGCAGTCTAACAGACTAGACTGTTGAGTGAGAGAGAAAAAGTGAATGAGTGACAAAGAAAAGAGAATGGAAACACACACATAAAAAAGACATGACAGAGTACACAGAATGACCATTGTATACATAATTCTAAAAAGCAGAAAAGAACCATAACATGGAAACGCCGGTTTTCCATAAAAAGCAACTCTACTTTTAATGAGGAGAGGAAAGAGAAGAGTACTACTGGTATGTCATGTTTTAATTGATTTTTTTTTATAAAAAGGGGGGACAGAAAGTTCATAATACATAAATATTTTTAAATAACGGGCCATTGCAAGACTGTTACCTTATGGCTACCACTTTGAATTAGGGCTGCTCCATACATTGCAAAAGGGGTTCCATGCAACGTATTCAAACTATGTCATTTGTGCGGAGAACATTGTTTGTGGTATGTCATGTTTTAATTGATTTTTTTTATAAAAAGGGGGACAGAAAGTTCATAATACAGAAATATTTTTAAATAATGGGCCATTGCTAGACTGTTACCTTATGGTTACCACTTTGAATTAGGGCTGCTCCATACATTGCAAAAGGGGTTCCATGCAATGGATTCAAACTGTGTCATTTGTGCGGAGAACACTGTTTGAACCAAATCAAAAGAACATAAAGAATGCTGAAGCTCAGAGTCAGACTGTCTGTCTGTCTAGCCCAGGGTTCAGGCAGACAGGCTTGTGTAGAAATCTTTCATATCACTGCTGGCTGATCTAGTGTGGAAGCACAGTTAATTTTTTATTTTCTTTTTTTACTAAAATGAAGCATTTTTAAAGGAAAGTACTAAACGTTCATCGCAGAATCCAGTATGATTAGTTTCAGATATGGAGGCATTTTGTATTCTACATGTATGTATGCAGCCATATGTATATGGTATAAAACACAACGGTTGAAATCCTGTTGCTTAGCATTGCAAATTGTACTAGAGTCAGCCTATTGAATCAGTGGGGGTTTGGCGAGTCAGCTCTTCCTTAAATTCCATTGATTCAGATAGTACTACTCTAGTTGCGACTTACTATTGGATTTTAGCTAATGACTCATAAAGTCATATTTCCATAAAGATACCAAAGATGTGCATCGCAGATGTTAGTGTACAATGTCCATGCTGTCAACTTGCGGAAGAAGTGTGCAGTAAAGAACGTGTGCATGCACAACTGACTAAAATACTGTTCATGTTTGAGTCTAGCAGAACATGCATGCTATGCTACACAAAATTAATACTGTGTATGCTACTGTAAAGTATACGTTTTTCACATGTCACTGTAGGTTACTCCATGCTCAACTGAGTGTGCATGTGTGTGCAAGATTTCCATATCTGAAAGTCAATCCCTCCACAGATTGTTCAAATTTGGGGCTTTCTTGAGAAAGAAGCATGATTAGTGTAGAGGCGCAGCCTGCCGATCTGGACATGCCAGGCACTGAAGCAGTTCTGGATGTGAAATATCCTCTACCTTTGAGTGATGAACCTTTCCTTCATCTCCACAAGCATACTGGCAATTTCCAGATGCAACTTTTTTCATATGGAACCATCTCATTGTTAGCTACTCCCTTTTTGCTCTGAAATTGATTGATTGATTAATTGATTTAGAATTGTTGCCATTGCACAAATCTGTGGTACTATTAGACATTGAATCCTATGTCCAGTTACAGGCATCACACCTCATAAAGGAAAGAGAAATGGTTAACAGGCTTGAAATGTCTATGAGCGTTGTGCTTAGACCAAGAGACAAGTAAGAGGAGACATTAGATTTGGAAAGCATTACGAATGATTTGGAAAAAGGGGACAAGGAAGAGCTTTTCTCCATCCCACACAATAACAGTATCCAGGATCACTCACAAAGCTGAATGAAAACAGATAAAAGCATATACTTCCTCATACACAAACTTTGTAATTTGTTGTCAGTCCTCACAATGATGGCCATCAGCACAGATGGCTACGGTGGCTATACATTATCTTCAGTATGAAAGGCAGTTGGTCTCTGCTAGATATATTGTAAACTACATACGATGCCTTTAAGAGGTTTTGGCTGAGAGGAAGCTGCACATAATGCCAATCAATCCAGTAACAGCCAATAGTTCCCTCAGATTCTTTTTTCCGCCTTTTTCCCCAGGGTTCTGTCAGTGTCAGAATGGAGTATGTCGGAAGTGGACAGTAAGAGTGAAATGTTTTGTCAGCCATGTAACTCGTCAGTCAGTCAGTAATGCAGCTGGTTAACCAGTTAAGCTCAGTGATGTAAAAAGTTAATATCTGTACACAATATATTTGTTTTTATCTATAAAAAAACTGTAAATAAACAGAAACATTTCATTCTTTCTCATAACCAGAATCTCTGAGTGAATGTGTTGCAACAGTAAGTGCCAGTAAAGTTAAACTAACAAATAAGGGGTAGTCTACTAAGGGGTACTTGAAACCAAACGGCTGTTTATCAGCTGTGTAGAGGAAGTTTAATTTTAATTTTAATTAAGCCACATTCAGTTCCTCATGCAATCTGCTCCAAGAGTTTCTAACACTAGATCCTAGGAATATGAGCAGGAGAGTAGTATTGCATTCATGTCCTGGTTATGGATTTTCCCTAGGTATCTGGTTGGTGACAATTTGAACAAAATGCTGGGCCATCTAAGTTTTTAGTCTGATCTTCAGTGGCTTTTATATCTTTAATTGTTTCAGAATGACGTGCATATCAAACAACAAAAAACAATAAGTACATAAAACAAAACCTGCCTCTTAATTCTGAAGCAGCCCAGAATTAAAATACCTCTCTATAAAAGAAAACAAGGGGGAAGGAAAAAATACAGGAGCGTTGAAACATCAGACACTAACATACCTTCTTTCTAGATAATATTAGGAATAGAAGCACAATTCTCTCTGAGAAGGATCACAAAGAATCCCCAAAGCTATACTTCACTCCTAATAATTTTCTTACACATATGCTGAAATTTTAGTGCTTAGTGTAGTAAGTCACACTACAGTTGACTTACTGCATCAGTGGGAGATTGGGAAATCAACTCCTCCATATGTTCCATGGATTCAAATAGGCCTAGCTGGAACTTACAGAGGAGTTGATTCACCAAAGCATAACTAATTCAATGGGCTTATTCTAGTGCATATTACAATGCTAAGCAACAGGATTTTCAGCTTTATACTGAGATACTGATTACTACTTCCTAGAAATTTCCTCAGCTCTCGGTAGCCTTTCTCCACAGTTGCAGCTGTACAGAAAGGGCAGGAGATTCAATTGTTCAACCTGGAGCAGAACCCTGATCCAATATTTGAGGACTGACATTCTGCAGGACATGACATTTCTAAGTAGTAATGAAGAGTAAAATTGTTCCAGGACATGCTGAATAAGAGGTAAGTCTGCAAAATATAAATGTTAATGTCCTCTTAATATTGAAATATCGGACACAGTATGTTTTAAATTTGCACTCAGTTTTATAACCCCTCCCAAAATTATTTAATGAGTCAGCCTGGAACACTTCTTAGGGATGTTCTCAGTTTTAACAGCTTAATATTTATGCAGGTTAACATATGTGCCAAACCTTTTTCCTGTTCAATTAACAATTACAAACAAAACTGCATGAAATCTAAGATACACTGAGTCACACACAGGATGCGGCACTCTTTCTTCCCTGTTACTATGAAAAGCATTCTAATTCAAATATAAGGTAATGCAAAATGTTTAGATTTAAACAGCTGTATTTACTTTTTTTTTAAAAAAAGCCATTCCATCCATTGGATCCAAAGAAGCCTGAGATATGTGCACTGGGACAAGCCAGCAGCTCCAGATAGAAGGAAGGAAAATTTTACAAAGAGCAAGTTGGTTGGCGAAAAGGGAGGGAGAGAGGGGTAGGCACAGAAAAAGTAAGTAAAGGCTTGCCTTTAAGAGCACTTCACTGTTCAAAGGGAGAAAATACAATGGAACATTATTTTCATTGTTCCTGCAATTTTTCTATTGGAAAAAGATGGAGAGAATTCTTTATAGGGAAACAATAATCCTCACGTCCTTTCTGGTTTATTTTTGGGACTTGTAACTTGTACAGGTAGGCTATAAAATTCAAGGCGGATGAGATATTTCAACTATGGACTTCCCTTCACATATTGTGCCCAAGGATGAAATTAAGCTTAGAACACAAAGCAAGAATACAGTTTATATAGACCATAACGAAAGAATGCACAAAAAGCAATGAGAAGATAAAGACACTAAATCTATGTTGTCTGCAGCAATGTACAAATAGGTAGCTGTTGATGTGAACTTGTCATTTATTTGTGGTATCATCTAATGGAAACACGTAAACTTGAAATAAAATACTATGTGAACTCTGCAGATTTAAAACAATGTTTCCTATATTGGTATGTATTGAAGCCGACTCAATACATTTCAATGCCTTTGCGAAGTCCTTTTTCGCTCCTGTAAAAGTGTCTTACAATGTTTGGACGCTGTTTTAAATGATTGCAATGGTTAGTCCACCTCCTGAAACCTATGCAAACTGATTTTGGTGTTGTTCTGACACTTCGTTAATTTATGATGATTTTTTGAATTTTCTCCATTGGAAACCATTGGATGGTCTGTCTAATGGTTTCCAATGGAAAAAACAAAAAATCATCATAAATTAACAAAGTGTCAGAACAACACCAAAATCAGTTTGCATAGGTTTCAGGAGGTGGAGTAACCATTGCAATCATTTAAAACAGTGTCCAAACATTGTAAGACACTTTTACAGGAGCGAAAAGGGAGATTGTTGTGTGAAAATCCCCCATAGGAAACATCGCTGTGTGAGGCAGCAAATTTAACAGAAAAAGGCATTGTTGTGTGAATTCATCGTTGTGTGAGGCACTCGTTGTGCGAGGCACCACTGTACTTTAAAAAGAACTACAATATTTACAAATGGATAATAGTTCCAGTTTTCACAAAAGCAACAAAAACTTACCTAACCTGTTTGGTAATCAATGAATGCCTTTGTGCAGAAATTTGCCAAGGATGTTTGCATTGTAATTTTCGTCTAAGTTGAACTAAAGTTACAGATCTTAAAGACTGTGTTTTTAAAACAGCCCAGCCATCAAGAGCTAGGTTATCAGTTTGGATTATGGAAGAGAACAAATGATTCTTAAACATATATGTAGTTTTATGTTTGAGTCACTTTCGATTACTTGGGTGCTACTTTTTTACTTCTTTAGAACACTGCTTACTCACCTTTTGACCAATTTCTTCATAATCATCTTGGTAATTTCCACAGATTGCAGTAGAAGAGGATGAGAAAGTTGGACCCTGAGAATAGTATTGAGAACTTCTATAGCCGTCTCTCCTCAGCTTGTCACATTCTGTAGGGGGGAAAAGGAGTGTTTATAGTTCTTGGTGCCAAATAGATTTAACAGCTGGCAACTTCTAAAGCTAGTGGAGAAAGACACTATACTGGATCCCTAGAGGGGTGTACTACACATTTTGGTTTCTGTTGCTAAAAGTCATCAGCTTTCTATGATGCAGATAGAATGTCAGAGTCTTCGTGAACTACTGTGCTGCCTGCAGGGCAGCAAATTTCTGTTCCTAAAGGAGACACATGAAAACATTGAGTTTTGCACTGCTCATTTTCAGTTGTGCGGTTTTATCAGTGGTTGTAGCATCACCAGTTTCATCAGTCTTGCTCCAGCTGTGACAAATGGGCACAGCAGTGGCTTCAAAAATGGTCTTTGTGTACCTTTCCAGCACCAGACTATAAACTTGAATTACAAATATGTTTTGTATAATATATGCCGATTTTCTATGAATTCTGTTCTCCATCTGTTAACATGCCAGTCAAACAATAAAACATTGACATAAAATAATGCACAAGCTTTCCCCTAAAACCATGTAGCACTTAAGGTACACACTGCAGCAGAACTTATGTTCTATGTGTGAGGATTTCGTACATTTACTGACTTCAAAACAGAAGTTGGCAAAATTGAAGGACATACCAAAATACATGGATAGATACCTTATTTGAAGTGTAATCTGAATGGACAGATGGTTGTCTACTGCACCATTTAGGTGAAAGGCTGCTAGTAACACAAGGAAGACATGGAGGGCTTACAAACCAGTCTGGTAGATCTCCATAATATGCTTAAAACTTGAGTAGGGATGTTGTTCACTACTAAAGCACCATCTGCTAGGCAGCTTGGCACAGATAACTCAGATAACTTCTCTGCATGGGGGTGAAGAAAGCCACCCTTACATTTTCCTCTAAATGGTAACAGAGGAAAATAAATCAACAATAAAATAAAAATCCTAACCTGGGTAAAACTGAAATAACCCTAGGCAGCTTCCAGTCAGTATCTCCAGCATTTAACTTGGCTAAAATCCCATCATTTGGTAGCTGCTTTCTAATCTCTGCCTTCTTTCTTAATTGATAATCAGCAAAATACCACTGAAGCATAACAGACGCTAGAGCATAAGGGAGAGAAAATGAAATCTCCAAAATGTGGGTGAACAGATTAATCTGCCTAGCCCAAATGCTCCTTTTACCTTTCCAGAAAATCTGTTATGAAAAGAGGAAAAAGTATTACTCCTAAAGTTCCAAGAAATTAAAATTGGTCTATAAATTATTGATTATAGGACAATACTAACAGATTTCATGAAGATCCACTATTGATGTACAGCCATTTAAGTTTTGTCTGTGCCCAGTTTAACCTTCTACTTAAAGGAAGCTACAATGATCAATTAAAAGTTTACTCATGTGTATTCCAAGAAAATCATAAAAATAAAATATCTTGATGATATTAAACATGACATCAAACTGAAAGAAAAGTATGCCCTCATTGAGAAGTTACATTTTCTAATAAAACAATATCATAGCAAATACAACATCAGAATCAACAAACAAAATGCTCAAGACAATGTGTGTGGGGATCAATTAACTTATTACTTTTCTTTAAAAGATGAAACATAATGTAGCACTAACTTATAATTGTAACAGTTACCTAATTACATTATGAATTGTGAATTACCTGTTATGTCAACAAATATTACAGAACTTTGAAATGAGAACATCTGCTACACAACCAGCCCATGTGCAGTTATCACATTCCATAAAGTGCATTACAAGGTGCAACAAAGTGACACTGAGATGTTTTTGGAACCAAGAAGCAATACAACAGTGCCATTTGGCATATCAAAGAAGAGAGACTTTCTTGAAGTGCAGATATGTGAAGCTAGTTGCTTCCTGCCTTCAGGGTGGTTTCTTGCAAACACTCAGGTTAAAGTACTTCAAAGACCCTCTTTGGATGTACAAGTTGCCAGGTTCCTACAGAACATGCAGCCCTACAGAAAGGGAGAGGCAAGCCCCCAAGACAAGGAGGCAGCTTATGCGTGCAGTCAGAGAAGAGTTTGGGAGATGGAGAGAGAGAGAAGGAAGACTGAAGCTTAGGAGAGGAGCGGACACACCGCTAAGGCAGAAGGAGACGTGGCTCTGAGATGGAATGGGCAACTGAATTTACTTCAGAAATGAAAGGGATCAGTGGCTGCAATTTCAGTTATTCATCGTTTACTGCAGCCCTATATAAAATACATGAGAAAGTGGGCCATGTGGCATTTGTCCCATCTCCTTGTATGTTGTATATATGTTTCACTACTATCCATGATTTCAGGCATTTGGGGTAGATCCCCCATGGATATGGGGATCCTACTGTATTTATTTTCTCCTCTCATGTGCAAATGATTTTTTTCCATCAGCGCTCACAAAAGGAAGATCACTGTGTGCTTTTACAGATGTAGTTTTAATGAGGTACATTTTCCCCTTAATTTTATTTGATGAAGAAGTGGTCCATTCAGTAGAATGCAAATGCTGATCCTTTTCCATCTAGGAAAAGCTCACTGCTCCTTCACAGGGGTAAATATAGAGTTTACTTTTCAAGAGCATCTATAATAGTTGAATAGAACTAAACCAGGAAGCAGATTTTGATCTTCCAGAAGATTGTGCTCTTAATGAAACGTAACAGAGGGCCCAACCAGGTCGGGAAATTGAAGGGACCCAGTTCACACTTAAAAGGTTTTTATCTTTGGTGTGTTCTATTTTTTCTTGCACTTGAGAGATACTTCCATTCACATGAAATGTATCTTCTCCTGTGAGAAGGATTAAGACAGCTCTTCAGATTGCACCAATTTACCCCCCTTTCAACTACTCATTTGCCCTCCCTGCCCCCTCCTCCACTCTTTTTGTAGCCATCATTCCACAAGCCATGGTGACCTCTCTCTCTCTCGGTAAAGTAAAGTAAGTGACACAGTGCTACAGCAATGCATCAGTCTAGTATGAGATACAGATTATCCATACTGTACTGAAGACACCTCCAACATATTAGAATTGTGCTCTGTCAATTCTAAATAAAGGAAGGAGATATCGCCATCTTCCTTTTCAATGTCACATCCCATTGAATATATCACAGGGTTGCCACCTCAGATAACACCACCCACAGTTCTATTTGGGTTCAAATTAACCACCTGCACTAGCAACAGAATGGAATAATCAGGAGCACTCCAAACTGCACCAAATAAACTGTAGCCCTAATACTATACCAGAAAGGAGCAGGGCAACCTGTGAAGAGCGGGGGGGGGGGATCACTCTTATTGTGATCACACATATGGTCACCAGAAAATAGGGTGAACTAAAGGCTTACCAAATAGTGAGCTATATGTCAGTCTTGCATCTTCAGAGTCAGATGCAAGATTTCTGTAACCGAGAAGTATTCATGAACTCTATTATATAGTAATAGAAATAGAATAGTTAGGCTCCACAGAAGCAAGCAAACACTGGTGCAGAAAAATTACACTCTCTCTCTCTCTCTCTCTCTCTCTCTCTCTCTCTCTCTCTAATCATTCAGGGACACAAAAGCTCCTTTTCTGTTGAGATCAAGAGTTGAATTCCATGTGAAAAAGACAGATTCTAATTGCAATACAGTATAAGGCATATCCTCATGAATAAATTCAGTGAGATTATGGTAGACAACCATTTTTATTGTTTGCTTGTCAATATCTGTCATCTCCAGAACTCATCATGTTACCTGGTTACTTATCTCTTTTAAACACTACAAGAAACTGAGACGTTCTAGCAAACAGCAGATTTCTAGTGTTCAAAGCCAGCCTTTGTTAAGAAAAACAACACATTGCAGGCAGTATAGAATGTACTAGCAGAAAGGGTCTATTACAAGATTATGAACATTGCACAGAAAGAAAGCCAGCTACAGAAGTGAAAAAGCAGGTTTTAAAAGTCACTTTGATTTCTTTTCCTGTTGTATTATTTTTGATCATCCCAATTCAAGCTGTTTTGAGTCAGTTCATATGCCACAATGTACAATGGAACATAGCCCCAAGTATTCTCTCGTGGCCCTTCATGTTACATAGTAGTATGTACTTGGATAATTGGTGAACAGGAGACATGCTGGAATGTTTCAACTGTAGAGAAGATGCAGCCATTTCCTCCTGAGTGAGTGAGAAAGGGTTTGTGACCAAGATTCAAGCATGTGGTTTCCAAATTTGCACAAGGATGTAGGACAGGAAGTTCCCATGTGGCTATATGAAAGGGCTACAATTATCTCAGGCTCGTTGGGCATTCCAGAAGTTGTAGCCCTCAAAAGTAACTTTTCCTTTCTCTGGTACTTTGAATGTATGTGAAGCAGGTGTCTGTGGTACTACACTTATGCACTAGTGAAAAGTGTTGATGCTGGGGAAACTATAAATAAGCACTACATGGGAAATCATGGGATTATTTTTCAAACATGCCTCCACATGCAGCTGCAATTAAATCTCTTAAATGCAGATTTGGCTTTTTAAACTAAGAGGAGACAGGACGTTTATCTGTATATTTAAAAAAAACATGGATATTATTATTCCATTTTCAAAAGATAACACAAGCTATCTAATTTTCTGTGAGGCTAAAGATTAACTATTTATTTTTCTTATTTGAAGGAGAAAGTCACTTAGGAACAGGCTGGCTTTTGAAAAGGTGGTGTGGGGAAAGAGGCGGGGAAGGCAGAATGGGAAAGAATAACAAGTTTCCTTTCTTCCCTGGAGGATTGCTGCCAAATTTTTGTCATTTTGATATTTGAAGCTACTGCTTTTGTCTGCCAAGTTCTAAAAAATACTTGGAAGGACCAAGCTATATGAATTACTGGTTTAATATGTACACTTTCAATATATTTATGAGATAAAGTAATATATTATACTTTTCATTATGTATTATTAGTTTACTGTATTGGAAATAGAGGGTTACTCAATATATACTTATTTGTTAGGTACATTTGCCATTTTGATAACAGAACCACTTAACAGTGAAAATCTTATTTAATATTAATTA